AAAATTTAATATTTAAATTATACTTTCTTTTGTGCAAAAAATTATTTACTTAAAGAATATAACACGACGTTTTGTTGAAATATCTCCTAGCTAATTTTTGATGGACATTTAGTAGACGCATATTGCACGATGGCTCAATCTTGTACACATTTTTTTTTTTTATATACGGTGGGAGTTTCGGATCTTTGATTTAATTTCCTTGGTGCCTGGGGATACTACATTTAAGACGTAAATCACTATACTTAAGTGGAGTTGAACTACTGATCTTGAATACTCATTCTCAAATCTCAAAACCACTAGACCACCACCGACCAATTAGTTTAATCCTGTATTTGTTTATAAAATATCATAATGTAAAACAGTAACTAAGAAATTAAATTTTCATCTTTGTAGCATTTTACGCATTCTGATTGTTTTATAGTCGTTCTTCTAAATTTTTCTCTGGTTCTTATAAATCAGTGAAAAAATAATTTGTGTATAGAATCACTCATATACACAAAGTGCTGGAATGCAAGAGAATTATGATCGAGGAAACGATGATATTTAATTTTCTTCTTTATCTCATACATAATTTGGTTACTGATATTTTCTGCTGTATCGCTAAGAGTTCTTATGTACATAATTTGCTTTAAAGGGTTCTTATCGTGTATGTATATATATATTAAGAACAAAAAAGGGAAGAGAGAAAATGAAAGGAGAATAAACTTTTGTAATCCTAAAAGGTTTAGAGTTGTAATTATTTTACAAGGAAAAGTAGAGAAAAAGGTACAAAGCTGACAAGATTACTAGAGGGAGAGAAAGACCGCATCCTAGAAGAGTGACGCGCATGTTAATTAGAATCTTTTATCATCCAACTAATTTTCAATATACGTGTAACCGTCGATTAATTCACTCAATGATATTTTTAATAGTTCTAAAACATGACACTATTTTAACTAGTCAAATATGAACGGTTAGATAATTTCACGATTAAAAAAAAATCAATCTATAGTCCTTCAAGTGGAAACCACTAGTCTACTACGATTTAGTTTATTCGACAAATCTTATACTATATAAAAGAGCCAATGGTTTTTCTTTTTATTCTAACTAGGGTCTAGGGCAGATCTTGGGACAAACTCATATCCAAAGCATTTAGGAACCCGAGTATTTTTGCCACTTAAAATGTTTATAGTAATCACGGAAAACCAACGGTGCATGTTTGTAGTTGGTGAACTTTAAACCCAGACCTTCATCTGCATGACATATCTTTCACCACTCTAACTCAACAATTTGGTTAAAAGAGGCAATGGTCCCATGTATCATTTTCTTTTATATAGATATAATTGAAATCGAAGAATTAATAAAAAAACCTATTAACAAAATATTCAGTTTGAGTCAAAGGTTTGGAGATATGAGAGTTCAATAAACCTAATTTGAATTGACTATAAGATGACTAGACATTCAAACCGTATATTATAGTATTGGATATCCAAAAGCATCATTTCTTGGTCACAAAGTTGATGTTTTGTATCTGGTTTATGATGAAATTGAAGTTTATCTTAGTCATTAAGCATTTTTTGCTAATTAATTAACATATAAATAATGCGACGAAAATATGAGTAGTTATAAAGTGATTGTTTCAGTTTCACTAATATTGTTTCGATATAATGTTGTACAAATGAAAAGAAAATTGAAGCAAGCCTTTACAGTTTTTTTTTTTT